TGAGCACGGCTTCCTGGTGAGCTGCTATCTGTGCCCGGACCACGGCCCAGCCAAATCCTGTGATCCAAGGCTGAAAGTATCTCTGGACTTCAGCGGAGCTCTCGGGGAGATAGGGAAGCTTAATCACAGCTGATTGGGACATGTGAATCACGCACTGGAGCTTTCCAGCCAAAGGCCTCAGGGACTGACCTGGCTGGGGCTCTCCCCGAATTATCACAAATAATTTGGAACAATTAAGAAATGGGGGTCCATTCATTCAACAACAGCTGGAAACTCCTGTCGGTGATTGGGAAGGAGAGGCTGCATCCCAAATGACCTTTCTATGGCCATGCAAAACAGGTAATAGTTGAATGAATGAATAAATGATTTTTTTAAAAAGTATTTATTTACTTATTTATTTGGTTCACCAGGTCTTGGTTGTGGCAGGCAGGGTCCTTAGTTGTGGCATGCGAACTCTTAGTTGCGGCATGCATGTGGGATCTAGTTCCCTGAACAGGGAGCGAACCCGGGCCCCCTGCGTTGGGAGCACAGAGTCTTAACCACTGCGCCACCAGGGAAGTCCCCAATGATTTTTAAAAAGTAGTGACTGGATAAAGAAAGAGGGGGAAAGAGGAAAGAAGGAAAGAAAAGAAAGGAAGGAAGAGAGGGAGGGAGGGAGGGAGGGAGGAAGGGAGGACGGAAGGAAGGAAGGAAGGAAGGAAGGAAGGAAGGAAGGAAGGAATGTTAATCCAAACTTGGCTTTACGCTCTTTGTGCCTTTGGACAGTTCTAACTATTGCAAAGTTCTTCCCTATACTGAACCAAAAGGCTGACCCAATTCTCTGAATGAAGGAAGAGCCAAGCAGAAACAGAGCCACAGAAGAGCAGAGTGGGGAAATGGGCCAAATAAACCTAGTCTTGACGAGGCCACGGGTTATCCTCTTCCACGTCCGCTTCCCAGCCGGGGCCACCAGGCACTTCCTGTGCAGCACAGCATCACTGACAAGGCGTTTCCAGTTTCTGCTCGCCAGGATCAGCGCTTTCCAGAGTGGTAGTGAGTGGGTGGGGTCTTGGGATAGATCATGGAAGATACAGAGAAGGACTCGCTCTCTCTGCACTCTGCTGGGCAGGTCTCTGTGCTGCTTGCCCTCTGACCCCACCCCTTGGGCACATCCAGTTATAGTCAGAGGCTCTGCCACCATCTAGAAAGCCCGGGTCTCCCCTTGGTTCCTCTCCTTCCACACAGTAAGCTGGGGCTCAGGTCACTCCAAGACCCACAGTAATTATTTCTGCAGCCCCTCCCTCCATCAAACTTTCACCTGATCACTGCCCTCCCTCATACCTGACACTGGCTCCATCTTCAGCTCAGAATCCTTAAACCCCAATATCCCCAGCATTCCCAGTAAGAGGAGAAGGTGCTCCCCGTTCTCCAGGAGAACGCCCATCCTTCCCCATGGGCATCACTTCTAACGCCCAGAGCCTGGCTCTCCCGGCCAGGGCCAACTTTTAGTGACTGCGCTAATTTCCTCTGGGAAATCACATCTCCCCACCTCTTGGGTCCAAGTGCCCTGGATGGAGAAGCCGGCCTCACACCCTGGCTCAGACTCCCTAGCCACCGGAATAGGGCAGAGCAGGTGTCCCAAGCTGGACCAAGAGAGCCAATCCTGGGACATTTGCTGGAAGTACTGGGAAGGCTAACAGTTTCTGCTGGTGTTGCAAAGCTAGTAGAACATAAACTTAGAGCTTCTAGTAAACACCTTTTTTGTTATATGAGGAGAGCCTGGGTGAGAATCAACCCTGCCTGGGAGCAGCCCCACTTCTGGTTATAGTGTATATCCAAAAGGACTGCAAGCAGGATCTCAAAGAGCTATCTGCACTCCCACGTCCACTGCAGCGTTGTTCACAATAGCCAAGATACAGAAACAGTCCAAATGCCCGTTGACAGATGAATGGATAAAGGAAATGTGGTCTATACATACAATGGAACATTATCCAGCCTTAAAGAAGTTAGTCTTGCCATTTGCGACAATAGGTTTGGACCTAGATGACAGTATGCTAAGTGAAATGAGCCAGTCACAGAAGGACAAATACTGCCTGATTCCTCTTATACGAGGTGCCTAAAGTGGTCCAACTCATCGAGGCAGAGAGGGGAATGGTGGTTACCAGGGGCTGGGGGGAAGGGGAAATGGGGAGTTTGTGCTTAATGGGTATAAAGTTTCAGTTATGCAAGATGAGTACGTTCTAGAGATCTGCTTTCAATACTGTACCTAGAGTTAAGGATGCAGTAACGTGCACTTTAAAATGGAGTAAGGAGGGATTCGTGTTCAGCGTTCTTAGAAAAAAAAAAGGAGAGAGAGGAAGGAAGGGAGGGAGGGAGGGAGGAAGGGAGGAAGAAAGAAAGGAAGGAAGAGAGGAAAGGAAAAAGAAGAAAAGCCACGAAAGAGCACAAGGAACTTTTTGGAGGTGAAGGATGCCAAGGCCACCATCCAGGGTCCACTCCAGGGACATTTCTGTCCAAATGTGGTTCACTCTGCCCCTTTAAACATTGCCAGACACATTAAGACTTCCCACACACAGAAGTGTCCACCCAACTCTGGTGAGCCCGCTGGCTAAACCCTTGACCCAGAGCCTGACCTGCCCTTGACCATCACTTCCCCCACCAACTGCCCCAGCTGGGTCTCCTGACTGGTTTCAAAAAGCCACATCCTGTGTTCAAACACTGAAGTCTGGAAAAAGACAGCTCTTTCCACAGAAGGTGATTTCAGCTGTCAAACCAACACTTCCTGGCTGCTTTATTTCCCTTTCACATCCCTCCCAGATATCTAACTTTACAAGGTGTGTTCCCAACGATTTCTACAGGGAGTTCTCTAATTCACCCCAGGCTGGAGGATGGCAGAGCACGTCTTTCTTTGCGTCTGTTTCAGCGCCGTTGTTTTACAAGTACGGTCACGTGTCACCATTTCAGGAGACACGAGATAAGCACAATGTAGGCTCTGTCCTCACACCTTAATCCTTTATCTTCTCCCTCCTTTTCATGTATCATTGATAACCAACTCTGAGAAAATGACTATTATCGTTCAGAAACAGTGGTACTGCTGTCACTTTTGACAACATCTGATTCAGTCTTATCATAGGTGTTATGGACTGGACTGTGTCCCCCCTAAATTGATATCTTGAAATCCTAGCCCCCCAGAACCTCAGAATGTGACTGTATTTGGACACGGGGCCTTTAAGGAGGTAAATAAAGTCATATAAAGTCAAAAGAGTATGGCCCTAATCCAGTAGGCCTGGTGTCCCTATAAGAAGAAAGAGGGAGTGGGACTTCCCTGGTGGAGCAGTGGTTAAGAATCAGCCTGCCAATGCAGGGGACACAGGTTCGAGCCCTGGGCCAGGAAGATCCCACATGCCGTGAAGCAACTAAGCCTGTGCGCCACAACTACTGAGCCTGCGCTCTACAACCTGCAAGCCACAACTACTGAGCCCATGCGCCTAGACCCCATGCTCCGCAACAAGAGAAGCCACTGCAATGAGAAACCTGCGCACCACAACGAAGAGCTGCCCCTGCTCGCCGCAACTAGAGAAAGCCCGCACGCAGCAACGAAGACCCAACGCAGCCAAAAATAAATAAATAAAGAGGGAGAGACACCACAGATGTGTGGACACAGAGGAAAGTCCATGTGAGCACAGAGTGAGAAGGTGGCCGTCTACAGGCCTGGGAGAGAGGTCTCACCAGAAACCAAACCTGTCAACACCTTGATCTTGGACTTTCAGCCTCCAAAACTGTGAGAAGATAAATGTCAGTTGTTTAAGCCACTCAGCCTGTGGTATTTTGTTATGGCAGCCCTCGCAGACCACTACAATGAGCAAAGCACTGCCTCATTTGCTCACCAGGCTTCTGCTGAATGCCTACTGCATGCCAAGCACCGAGTAAGGCTCTGCAGGCAGACACAGAAGTGGATGAGGATCCAGTAGCTCTCAGTGTGGCAGGAAGAACACCACTGCACAAACAGATCTATCATAAAGTGGAATGAACGCATCATGGTATAAGTCAGCTCTACTATAACGCTTGTTTTGAAAACGCAAATCTGTTCCAGTGCCATTGATCCATTGGGGGACAATTTGAGCAGAATGTGAATTTTGTGTTTGCTGATGCATGATTTCATCTGCAAGACATATTAGATGAACACAGAAAACTGCACCCAGCTGAACTCAGCCACATAGGAATTCACAAAATGCACACACTCAGGCACACAGCAGCTGCCTCAATTTACCGTGTGTGTTATGAGCCATAGCCTGTCCAACATCTGGTGTTACAGTTTTTGATTTCTGCCTGATTTCACATGACTGTCCTTGCACCATTTCACAGGAACACCCAAGTGGCAGCCCTTCTGAGGCTCACTTCCATAAGTAAACTTCAAGTCAGTTTCAAGGTCAAGTGCCACATTTATGGTACTATTTATAAATTTCTTAACCATCGAATGTGTCAAGCCGTGCTCCCATTTTTATCAGGTTCCTAGTTTTGTTCTTACCTGTCACTGACAAATTTTTGAGTGTTGTGTTCCCAGCCCACTTTCTCCCACTAAGCCCTGTGGGTTTTGTTTCACGATTCTGTTTACTGCAGTGATTTTTATGACATGCATTTTGGGTTAGAGCAGAGCTGACTGTATTTAAACGTCTCAATGAGAAATTTCATTTCTGGTAAGTAAGGTCTGGGAAATCAGTGCCTATAATCAGGTTCACAAATAATCATGCACTTGAGGCATAACCCTCATTTCAGAGCATGTGGTTGTGACTAATGTGTCAAGAGTGCTTCCTAGGGGCGACATGCCCTAATTGCAGGTAAAATATAGGAAAAAAATGAAGTTTTAAAACATTACAGGATGAATGAAGCTATTACACAAGCTAAGTCAAATACATCCCTCACCTGTAGGCAATTTTTTCTGACCTCCAGCTTCCTGATATGTTTAATGAAAGAAATTTTTCTCCAGGGAAAAGTCTTGAGAGAGAGAGAGCTACACTGACCTGTCATTGAGTTTTCTGAGGTGCACAGCTGCTCTCTCAGCTTCTCCACATCGTCAGGATGCACCTGTTCATAGAGGGTGCTCCCAAACCACTCTGACTGGGGCTGGTTCAGCACAGGGGTAACGGAGTCAGACACATAAATCACTCTCCCCGTCTCAGCCGCCACTACAAACAGAAATCCATCAGCCGCTTCAAGGATGAGATGCTTCAGTTCCTGGGAAGAAAAAATCATGATTAGGACCAAGCATGGACAAACCCAGGACAATTAAATAGTCTTATTAGCAACCTTCAACTTTTATTCAGAAATTCATTGTGATACACAAACAGTTTTGGGGCTTTTGTTTGTTTGTTTTGGGAAGATGAGCTGTACAAATGCACGAAGCTTATACTAGCCCTAAGATACAGCTACTCCAAACACTGTTAACCCTGTCTTAACCAGCCCTCTCTTAGGGAGAGAGGAAATTTCCAGCCCAGGGAAACGAGAGAGCAAGAAGTGATCACCAGGGAGGTGTTGGGTTGTCAGAGGTGTGAATGGCCTCACCTACATATTCAAACTGCAGTCATGTCATTGGAGCAGAAGGGCCTGGTACACATGGGGCTCATGGAAGGGAGGGAGGGACCATGGGAAAGTGGGAGGAGAGAAGGAAAGGCACCAGGTGTCTCCCCAGCCACCACCTGCCACACTCAGAGTGCACTCATTCTTCTTCTCTTCCTTCCTTTCTGAGCTGAATGCTGGCGGCAGATGTAAGAGTATCACTTTACATCTGCATGTCTGTCAAATTTTCAGAACTCCTTGACAGCCAACATCTCAACAGACTCTCAGAGTAATCCCGGAAGGTGGCAGGGCACCTAGCATTGTCCATGTCACTTTACGGTGAGAAGAGAGGCTGACTGCACCAGTCCTGGAGTCACACTCACAGAGCTCATGACTGTCAGTGAAGGCAGGAAGGAAGCTGCTTGGGATCAATGAATGGGCGGCAGGAAGCTTGGCCATCATCCCGAGAGGGACATAGAGGGGGCAAAGTCAACTCTGTTATAAAGTCTTCTCTTTGCAGGGCCTGCAGGCAGCTCAGGTGTGGCTACCTACCCTGTCATTCTCCCATCAAGCTCAGGAGCCCTTTCCTGCTGAATGAAAGGGGCTCCGTTCCTGCAGGAGTTGGGGGGCTATCTCTTTCCTGTGTGCTGGGGTCCACAGCCGCCTCTCTAACAACCTCACACACTGCTCAGGGCCCAAAGAACAAAGGGGTCCTTCCAGTCAGTGGTTGGCAAGCACTTTTTGCTGGGAATCCTTTGTTCACGTGTAATCTTAGGTGGAAGCCCCTCTGGAACAACAGAGTAAGGGCCATCTGCATGGAGGCAAAAGACGTGGAGTCTAGAGCATCTGACCCCACCCTCAGTGCCCGTCCCGAGTGGGCTCCAAAAGCCAGAAAATTAGAACATGTGAGTCTGCTGGGGAGCAGAAACTGGGGAGATTTGCCAGCGTCTCTGAGCCCTTGGCCGAGTCAGAACTGTAACATCCTCTGTCTGGGAATCTAGTGTGGAAGCAGGCTGTACAAGCATTTTTTAAGGAAAAGTTTATTTTGTCCATTTCTCTCGCTTGGCCTTCTGCTGTTCCATGTCGCTTAGATGCTTACTCAGTTCAGAAGATTGGGTCAGCGGTTTTACTTTCAGTATGGAGAAGATCTTGCCAACAGGAAGGACTGTAAAAAATGAAACGGGTTGTCTGGGAAAGTAGAGAATTCTCTGTCTTTGGAGGAGAGGAAGTGGACGCTGATGCCTCCACGTAGGTTTTCACAGTTTCAGCCCTTTTGCAAGGACTGTGGGAAGGGCTTATGGAACAGAGCCTCACCCTCATCACGGGCCCCTCCTTCTACACCCTCCTCCCCGGTTTTTGTCTTCTGGGAGCACGTCACTCATGACCAAGGTCCTGTGCCCCGAATCCAGAATGAGCCTTGCCTGTATTCTCCAGTTAAGCCAACAGTTAGGTCTAAAGGCACGGACTGTGGCATGAAAGGAGACCATCAGCTATGGCTCCCACTTCACCGTGCAAGTCTGGGCTCCCTACTGAGCATCTTCGGCTTCCATTTCTTCACACGTTTTCTTCAGTGAGATTCTGTGAGGTTCAGTGAGATCTTACACGTGAAGGACTTAGTAAAGGCTTGGCACACAGTAGGCGCTTAACACTTGTAGCTGTTGTTGTCATCAACAACCTACCTGGGAACCGAGAGAGAAAGATGGGGAGGACTCATGTAACTTGCATAACTGCCTTCTCTCTTCTCTTCACTTTCTTAATCCTCAGTCACTTACAGGTAAAGAGATTAATGTCAAATATGGACCCTGGCAGGTCCACGTAAGGATTAAAGAAATGCAGAGAAAAAGCTTTTCACGATCCTAGTGGTCAGGAGGCACATAATGCATTTCTGTCTGCTCACCTGCCGGCTCTCCATCCTTCATTCCACTGCAGCCCCGTGTTAAACATTCTCCTCTGCTGCCTCCCTGACCTGTCTCCACGACCCTGCCAGGTGGGAGCCGTCACTGTGGTCCTTTTACAGAGGTGGAAAGAGGCTGGGCCCTGTGCCCTGGACCACCGGGCCCCGTGGCCTCCCAGCGAGGGTCACTCTGCTGCCACACCTCCTCACACCTCGAGGTGAGGAACACGTGGGCCCTGGGATGACCCAAGCCCTTGCTAAAATGCCTGCCACACAGGAATACACGTTAGCGCCTCTCCCTTTGCTCTTTTTCTAAAGCTAAGTCCTGTGACAGGAACAGATTCTTCACACTGGCAGAATAAACGATTCTGTCTCTGGACACGCCTTCCTCACCTGTTCCTCCAAGGCTCTGTGCTCACTGGTCTGCTCGTGTCGAATCCCTTCCTCTCCCGTTTCTGTGCATCTTCCGGGGCTCCTTCAGAGCCTGCCAGGGCCAGCTCTCTCCCGAGAAGCCCCCGACGAGACCTAACACTTCCTACCTGCATCCCCGACAGCACATCACTTCCCTTTCCCCTGCCTGCACCATATACAAAGTGCTCTCAAGTCCATCATCTCCTTTATCCTGCAGCACCCCTCAGAGTCAGGAAGGCAGAGAGCTCATGTTCATCCACAGGTGAGCAAACAGAAGCTGAGGGCATCTGATGATCTGCGCTACTACTGACCAGCATGGAGAAGAACCATGACCCAGAACACAGGCCTTCCAGCGCAGGGAACGGTCAAGTTACAAAATACTTCCCACTGACCATTTCCTGGGTTTGCTCTTCCCAACTATGCAGCTCCTAGTACAGCTGTTAAATACATGGTTTGGGGGTCTGACCAACCTGTGTCAACTCCTGGCCCCACCACTGAGCAGGGGACTGACGCTCTCTAAGCCTCCACTTGCTCACCTCTAAAGCAGGGATGAATTACAGAGGCTTCCTCCTCGGGCTAGAGTAAGGACTGAATGAAATCCTGCACAGAAAGATCTGACTTTGACCCCGGCTCAGGGCAGAGGCCTAAGTGCTGGCTGTTAGGATCCTTGCCACTATGATTGTTGTGACGGCTACCAAAACGTTGATCGCCATCATGATCACCACCGCTATTCTACCACAGAAGAACTGTGGTTTTGCTTGGCTTTTTCCTATATTAGCATGCTAAGCACAATGTCTTTTTTTTGAGTGATGCCTTATTAAGGTACATGGGAAATTTAAAAAGCAGAAGACGCAAAACACCCCTGGAAGAGCATTTCCTAGTGAAGAATGGAAATAAAATCCCCTGGTTTCGTCCCTACCTCAGCCTTTAACCCTGTTTCCCCACATAGCTTATTTCATCTTGGCGATGCTGTCAATCATTCTCTCCCCTTCCAATGATGCCATTACCGGGGAAGAAAAGCACGCAGGCGAGGGACGAATGGGGTACCTGCTCCGTCAGGAACGAAGGCTTGTAGGCGCCGTCTGTGGACTTGTTCCCGGTGCCCCGCATGGACTTCATGTGCGAGACGGCCATGCGCAGGATGGTGAGCTTGTCTGGCTTCCGGGCCAGCGCGCTGCACGTGGGGACCATGTCAGAGAGCTCGGTGATGTACTGGGTCATCTTGTTCCGCCGCCTCCTTTCAATCTCACTGTGGTTCTCTCTTCCCGAAAGCACGAGATCAGGGGAGGGGGAAAGAGAAGGATCAGACTGGGGGTTACTGTCTGACGGTGTAAAACGGCACGTACATCGTTAATGCCAAGTTATCAAAAGACTAGCTCGTAATGGCTAATTCAGTGGCTTTGAACGCATCTTGGGCAGAGCAGCTCCCCGACACATTAGCAAGTTTCTTTCTCGGGGGGTGGGGTGGGGACAGGCTTCTACAGATGCCTCAGACTCACCTCTAAATACGTACTCAAAGCTTTCCACTGCTCCCATGTACCTAAGTACTTCTTAATAAGCATAAAGAATGAAGACATTATCCTTCAGGCATCAAAGTGAACTCAACATGCTTTCCATGTGCACCCACGGATCTGTACATGCTACGTGTGCGTGCACACACACACGTGCACGCGCACACACACACGTGCACACACACTGAATGTAGTTACCATCTGCTCAAATACGTGGTTTACTTTGACCCGCAGTGAGAAACATGTCTAGCCTTGCCATTCTTGGTGTCACTGAACAGCCACGCCACAGACCTACGTCACATCGAGTTGTGAACAAGCCTTCGCACTATGTGCTGCACATTTTCTGCAGCTTAGTAACAGAACAGGTGCATCCCGCTCACTAAACAACGGAGAGCCAATTAAAAAGCCCAGCGCTGCCAGGAATTCTGAGAGCGACGCTTGCTGACGTGTTAAGATGCTAAACTAGAAAAAGGGATGATAGAATGTTTCTGTCTCGAGATTATCACCTCTAGGCTTGGAAGGGAGTGACAGCCAACCCAGTTCAACGGCACTGAGACAAAGCTGTCACCTTGGATAAAAGAACTGTCTAAAAGTACATCACACGTCCGTTGTAGGATTTAGGGTTTCACAGGTGCTCAGAGTATGAGGGTGACACTAAGCAAGAAAGGAAGCACCCCAGGCAAGGCTGCCTCACACGCTGCATGTATCCATGGGGCTTCGCACCCCACCCTCCCAGGCTGGGAGCAGACGCCAGGCAGGCCTGATCACAGGCAGGGGTCACGTGAACACGACAAACCAAGGGGGAGGAGCTAAGCCGGGCAGCCTGGTGAGCACCTTCTATACAAAAAGCACTGAGCCTGCGCACAAGGGGGAGGGGACGAAGGAACCAGGGAATGCCCCGCTCCTATCCTAAAGCAGCTAAGTACCAGTTAGGATGGTAAAACATCACCTTGCATAGTAGAAATGAAGGCAGGATGGGATTAAATGCTCCCAGAGGCACATGGAAAGTAAAGACCCCAGGAGAGAATAAGAGAGGAGAGCGGGAGGTGCTCCTGGAAGGGCTGGGGGAGGAGCTGGGAGGGAGCAGGTAAAGGGGGCGTATTCTGGGGGGAGAATCAGCAGGATCAAAGAAAGGGCTGGAATTGGGATGCAGCCTCTGTGGGCAGGAGTAGACAGGCCTGGGTGCAGGGGCGGTCCTGGGGCTTGGAGGAGAGGGCCGAGCAACCAGGAGCGTGAGAAGCTGGGCTGGTAACAGGGCCTGGGTCTCCCACGCCCCTCAGCGGGCTGCTGGGGAGAGGTTCGGAGGTGGGTGAGTCCTGCGGGAAGGCAGAAGGAGAGGGCAGCTGAGGCCAGCAAGGGGACTCCTGGGGCAAGGTCTCCCCTCCTGCCCATAGTGAGGGCCCTTGGCAGCGGACTAGGGAGCACAGGAAACAGCCGGAGGCAGCCCAAGCACCCCTGCTGCACGGGGCAAGGGAGGATGCCCGCTGTTCGGGAGAAACGGCTCTCGGCTCTCAGGTTCCTGGGCGGGGGCTCGTATACTGTGGAGAGAGTAAAGACAACCAAGCAGAGGGGGTCCATCACAGAGACGGGGCAGTGGGGAGAAGGGGGCAATTGGTCAGGGGACTCCTGTGTGCCCCAGTCTTCATCACCATCACCCACTTGTGCCCTCCACACACACCTGTCACAGGTGGCCTGGAGCCGCTGGCCCACTGTGCACTGTACACCGGGAGGGCCTGGGTGAGCTCGCTCGGGGGCGTGCTCTCCACCCTGCCAGCCTGCACCTCATCGAGGCAGACAGGAGCGGAGACGGTGTGCAGAGAACGCTGCCTGGGACTGCTGAAGGGTGTCTCGGACAGAAACTCTGGCCACGCAGGAACGGTACATTATGATGCGGGATGCACATCCCTGCCGGGGGGCCCTGGACATGCTTCCCCGTATCTCCTGCTCAGAGACACTCCCGAACCCTAACTTGCTCCTACGGCTTGCCGTCTAAGTTCCACCTCCTCAGCTTGATTTTTAGGACGCCCCCTGCACCCCACGTCGGGGCCCACCCACTTTTCCGCCCTGTGTTCCAGCAGGCGCTCAGCTCCTTCACTTGCCTCATGGCACAGGAATGCGCTGTCCCCTCTTCCTCACCTTCAGGGCAGCCCACAGTGAAGGGCTTCTTCCCCTCACACTCGGTCTGCGTCAGATCTTTTCTAAATACCTGCCGGTTCTCTTCTACCTTCTCCCGGCCCACGCCCACCGGCTGGTACCACTTCTCACCCCCTCAACTCGGTGCCACCAGCCTCCGCAGTCTGGTCACCTCTTTCATCTCATCGCCCTCAGTTCAGTCTGCGTGCTGTGACTGGGCGGATATTTCTAAAGACGCAAACCCAGCTCTTCCCTTTCCAGCCCTTCAGTGATGCCCCAGACCCACAGGGCCAAGTCCAAGCCCCTGGCTAGTTACCACAGCGACCGCACCAAGACTGGACCAGGGCACGCCTGCTTCTGATCCTATTTCCAAAAGAGCCACAGACCATCTCGCCTTGTAAACATCTGGGGGGAAGAGTCTTTGTGAAGTTCTTAAACATGGATCTAAAGCAATTTCATCCCTGCACTGGATAAACCCAACTCATGACATCAGGTCCTTGACGGAGACGCGAGGGCAACTGTTTAAAACCGACTGTATTGACTGACCAGTGCAGAAAATGCTCCAATCGTTTCACGAAATAAGACTGAGTTATCAACAGAAGGTCAAAATGACGAAGAGCTGCCAGTTACCTAGCAACAAGATAAATGAGTGTAGCTACGGAATCTATTAAAATACGTATATGTCTATTCATATACATGTATGTATATATAGGTCCGTTTTGAAAGATCACGGAGGCAAGAAACAGGAAAAACACCCTCTTGGGAAAACAGAAGGAAGTGTCCCCAGGACCCAGGCCACCTCCTTCACAGGGTGTGGGCCGATGCGGGGTCTGCTTGGAGGAGCTGCAGGGGCAGCCTGTGCCCTTGGCATCTGAGTTTCGTGTGCCCCACGTGCAGCATCAATAAAGCAATGAGCCCCTCTGTACGTGGGCACGGGGCAAGGGCTCTGCAGCAGTGACAGCTGAGGATGCAGGCACAGCCGTCGGCTATAACACCTCTGCTGGGACAAGAGGGCCCCCAGCCTGGCCCAGGAACACGGTTGCAGAAACTAAGGGCAAGAAAGAGGAAGTGCAGCTGCACGCTGCCTTGGGTTTCTCTTCCAACTCGGCTCCCAAGGCTGACCTCTTAAGGGTAATCGGAGCAGTGAGATACACGTCCATCCTGATTAAATACAAAATAGGGGTGCTTTGGAAATCTCAATAAAGATCTTCCTTCAACTCCGCGGGTGGCAGCTGAGTCTCCCATCTCTGGTGGGAAGGGAACGACAGGCCTGCACAGGCAGACGGACAGGACAGCTCCACGCCGGGGCCAGGTCTCCCGGTCACCACAGACCCGAGACACCTGGGGCACCTCAGGGTCTGAGCGCTGGGGGCGGGCAGGCAGGACAGACACTGACAGACCAGCAGAGGCAACAGAGAGTGGACAGGCAAGGACACAGCCCCTGTGCACAGCGAGTCCCCCACATACAAACCTTCAAGTTTCGAACTTTCAAAGACGCGAACGTGCATCTGATTCCAGCGAGGAACCAGAACCTGTGCCATCCATGTCAGGCATGAGTGACATCGCAGCTTGCCCTCCGTCTCCTGTTGCTGACGATCCTTCAGCTCTACCATCTCCCACCTCCTCGCCCTCCTCCAGTCAGTAACTCTTCTTGCCTGTTCACTCGATGCCAGCCCCTGCACGCCAGCTGTCGTACTGTACTACTGTACTTTTCAAGGTACGGTACTGAAAGAGTCAATGTTTTCTTTATTTTTTGTGTTTGTCTTTTATGTATTATTTGTGTGATAAGTATTATAAACCTATTCCAGTACAGTACTAGAAGGCCGACTGTGTTAGTTGGGGACCTAGGCTAACTCTGCTGGACTTACAAACAAACAGGACTTACAACAAAAGTCCCGAGAAATCTCCAGGAACCCGAGGGCCCCAAGACCCTGCGTGCCCCTGAGGCAGGCCTGGCTGAGAGGAGCGTGTGGTAAACCTAAGTCCTCCATCTGCCTCTCTTTGCTCTTGTCACCAGCTGTGAGTCCTGGGGGTGGCAGACAGCCTGACACCATCAGAGACACGACCAGCTCCCTCTCGGCCTGGTCACCCACACGGCCAGGTCCCAAACCTGAGAAGTCAGTGCTGACACCCACCCCCCGCCATTGCCAGCTTAGTAGCTCCACAGGTGACAGGACTGTTGGTAGAGCAGCCCTGCTCCAGGTGGGACCAGGGCCACGTTCCTCTATGACACCTCAGCTTCCACCGCCACCTCCTGACACACGCGCTGCTCTCCAGGCCACCATGGTCTCAACAACAGACCAGCAGGAAACAAGCAAAACGCCTCTTCTGTCCACTTGGATACACACGGCCAAGCAGCAGGAAAGGTCTGATTCGGTAAAGGTCTTCAGCACTTCTCATGCGAAAGAAGCATCCGTCCCCTCCAGCCAGGGGGGAGTCAGACTGTGGGAGGAGACCCTTTGCAGAGGTGCAGACCATCTGTCCCTCAGGACTGGGATGGGGAACCATCCTGACCAAGCGGGGAGGATTTGGGGGGGCGTTCCAGATTTTGTGGGGTTTCCACACGAGTCCTTGCCGGCTGACAGCAGCCTCAGGCTCAGACTGGCCCTGGCTCCTC